GAAAACCAATCTGATATATGAAGGGTGTGTGGAGTGTCAAAAAGTGTCCGACATTTACAGTACAGTTTAGTTTCATGGAGAGCCTGAGTCACTTTAGTGAAGTGGTTTAGCTTAATGAAGTTCAGCTGAGCTAATGAGTGGGTGCTCAAAGTCTTTGCAATTTAGTTTTACAACTTTGTTGATCAGGCTTGCAAAAGAAATGGTATACTGCCATGTAACACTTTGTAAAGGTCATTGGAGTGAATTGTACCCAGCTACAATAAATAGTGAAAAAGATACAACATTTGCACCTTACATAGCTGCACCTCAAGCACTATCTTCTCCACTGAGGGTGTCATTGTTCTACAGCCATTGGATTCTAGAATGATCAATCACTTCACATAGCTAGTTTACGCAAACTTTAACAACCTCCCCAATAAATAAACAACTTAATATATAGTGGAAGGCTTTCTTTTACGGCATTATGTAGTCTCAAATATAATCTCTTTAAACTTGATCAGAGTCTAAAATTAAGGAAAGATGAAAAATGACAAAGCTATGGAAACCCTGTCTAAAATGTGCCTCGAATCACACCAAACATCGAAGAAACCAATTGAAATGCAAGAAACGTTTCCGCAAGTTCGTCTCTGTATGAAATATAATGGGCTGTTCCATGCTTTAATAAACCTGAACATTGAGATGATACCCTTGGTGTGTTTTCCTTTGATCAGGCATTGAACTACCAACCGCATTGTGTCAAATGTGCGTGGTGTCCTGCAGGATGGACGCGGATGCAGCACCATATGTGGAGCTGCTCTCTTAGCTTCTGCATGGCTGGATTTCATCATTAAAAAATACATTTTAACGAGGCCTTTCATTTTCAACTGTTCCCCCTCGAGTAAAGAACCAGCGCTTTTCACGGCTGCGTAAATGTACAAAAAAATAAAAAATAAATAAATACAACTCAGGAAGCTAAAGTCTTGCCAGGATAGTCTTTGATTTAAAATAAAAATAAATTAAACCTCAGCAGGGAGTGATCGTAATTCGTAATTATTGCCGTCATCATCATTACGTGTTGTAATTTGCATACACATCTCTGAGGGTTACTGTAAGGTTTCAGAAAAGCACTCGGCCGTGGATAATAGGTATGAACCCTGCAGCTCAGTGCTTTTTATAACAACGACATGTTTTCATTATTTACATTTCATTGTTACAGAATGCCCCACCGCGTTTGTTTAATACAGATGGTCTTGTACTGTAGATATAATAGGAGCTCATGTGAATACTCGCAATTCATGTTAAAGGGTCCTATTGTGCTCATTTTCAGGGTCATATCAGTATGTAGTGTCTCTGCAGTGTACACCTAGAACACACTACAGGAAAGGGAACACCCCAGAAAGCAGAATAGGGCCTCTTAGATCATGGCATATTTGGCGGAACGTTTTTTAATCTTAGCTCCGGACATGGCCATCAAATGTTGTATATTATTTATTATTCATTTTCCTCAGAGGATATATTCATTACAGCGTGGGTGATCTCCAGATGTGCCACCATGAGGTTAACATTTATGGGTTTGAATTGCCTTACTTGACAAATATGAAAAGGATTTCCATGATATTTACTTTACACATTTGGTGATCCATTAACTATTCCTCTGATACTAAAACATCCAATGGATCCCATCAGCTTTACCCGTTCTTTACGTTTATAATTTATAATGTGAGATGTAGTGGTGAGGCCAATGCCTATACAGTAGAACTATTGTGCCACTGATGCTCAAAGAAAAGTAGATCATTTGCAGACCTTGTTGCTGGTTGGGCTTTTAGGACGTAAAAACATATAAAATAGACATAATAAAGACTCTGCAAAAAGTGTGCATTTTGTATTTCCTGTTAAATATTTTTGACTGCAGCTGCTTGCCCGCCTGATATGTTGCTTGTGTTTCGTAGACAGCAGCCTAGAATAATCTTACTGTATATCTGCGCAGTGATGTGCTTTGGCCTCGTTTCACTGGGCTTCTTCTGGAGACGTGTGCTCTGCTGGAGGGAGACGTGATCTGAAGTTGGTTGACTCATAATCTTGGTACTGCCAAAGGACACAATGATATTCTGCAGGCTGCTAGCTCCCCTTGGTGGAGAGAGTTGGAACATGTGAGTAAACCAGACTCATGTTCAGGAGCAATGAGGAGAAACAGAACTCACACTGACATTTGGCGTCACATTTACAGACGTTAAATGATCAGTAAAGGTAAGTATAATAGGTCAAATTACTTATTATCTTATTTTATCATATAATAGGACTAAGATCAGCCTAAATGAATAAAACATCCTTTAAAAATGTTGTCATAATCAGCTTTAATTAGAAAAAATATCGTTTTTATTCACCTTTAGACCTTGAGAAAAAATTGTAAAAATGTCAGTTATTCAAAATCAGAGGCAAGCTTTAATCCTTTGGCGCTGTGTCATAACTTTAGGGTTTGTTCCTTCTGAGTAGTACACAGCAGAAACACATTAGCATAATAAACAAGGAAGTAAAACTGCATTTTATGCCTACAAGTCCGCCTGGGAGCGGACGCAGGAAGCAGCAAAGTGAAACTTGAACAACAATAAAGCAGCTGTAATAAATGATATTGTTTTAGTGCTTAAAGGCATCAATTTGGACCTTGGGTAAAGTTAGGAATTCATATGAGCACAATGTGTGACCTACAGGCTGGAAATCCTCTGGGAAGTTATTAGATGTTAAAGGTCAATCAAATTACATTCCTGATATCATTTTGAAATGCTAATCCAATCATAGCAGAGTAAACAAACCCCTGCTCAAATCTGTAAACACCACCTTTCTCAATGAATGCAATTTGATGTGGTTAAGTGTATATAATCCTAATTACGTTTATTTTCAAAATTATTTAAAATGGACAATATAGCTGGAAAATGATGTAGTTATAAAAAATATATATTTATAGAAAAAAGTGCTCAATAAGAAAAACAAAAGACTGCAATGAGGCCAAAATAATCTGACAAAATAGAATAAAATAACTAACAATAATAGAAAATATGAACAATTAGAAAACAGATAAGATATGGGAGGAAAAACTAGATTGTACAATGTTTTTATGTTATCTTTACCTTTTATATCGGTTTCAAATGTTACTTGCGAGCTTCAAACTTCCCTTTCTTAACTTCTGTGTTTCTTTTCTTCTCTCTGCCTCTGTGGAGCTCAGAAGTATTTTCCTCCTGCAGATGATCCAGATGTTTCCAGGGGGATCCCGAGGCGTTCCTTCATCAGATGGGATATGTAAACCCTGCAGCATATTCTTCTGTTGTCATGCTGTTTCTGTGCATTGATTATTTATGACATGTTTGGGATCTGTGAGCCCATAGACATTCAAACACCACTGCCTTGGTATTCTTATTCATATTTATAAGACCTTTCCATATTTAGTTAATATATGAAAAAGTTAAAGTAATATAAAGTGTAACAAATTCACATTTAATATGCTTGACTCCAAAACTTACTAAGAAAGTGATATAAATATGTAAGCACTCCAAATATTCTGCCTGCATACTAACAATGCTTGATTGAGTGTGCACAGCTAAACTAAGTATGGGTTGTGGGGAGGCAGCATGAAACAAATTGTGTCATTGCATCATATTCAAATATGTCAATTTCTTACATCTCTAGCTCCATTTTAAGTCACTTAATACTTCTCCACTACATCTCAGAGCGAAATGTTGTCAGATTTTCTCTAAATAAAGTTTAGGTCCTTTCAACTTTCTATTTGAAGCTTGTTATGACATTTTTGGTGCCATTTGATCCCAGAAAATGAAGAGCGAAGGAGCTCTCACTGCTTCTGATTTTGAATCAATATCTAATGTCAGAGATGTCAAACTGCATGACTTTGCTGTGAAAAATAAATCAGAGGCTGACTCGTAAAAGGCCTGACCGGAAGATTAATGATGTGTGACTGAGGGGGCAGCTTTTAAACAAGGTATTGTTTTTTCAAACCGTTTCTGGGACGATGCCAGTTTACAGCATCGAGAAGGCTTTGCAGAAGGTCGGGAGCACGACCTCTGTTAAGAGTCCATTCACAAGCAAGGTCACCTGTTTTATAGCTAATAGTATAGAGTATAACCTCATGCTTTTAAATGAAAATATACCACCATGCCTGGTCATTTAACCTTAGGGAATTCATTGTGCTTCTAACAGGGCTATTACAGTGTTATGACAATAATGCTTCAGCGATTTATAGTGGCAGAAATAGAGTTTACAATCTTCTTCTTGTACTAACTGTTATCTTTTTATGTCAGCAGTGGGGGTCAAAACGTCTCCAAAAGGGCACAAGATAAATCTAAAAAGATTATTAATCTTTTGATATTATAAAATAAAACTGTATTGATGCTTTGGTGACATTAACCAACTACGTTAATTCTTCTTTAGAACCTGTACTATTAAGGGGATAATCAATCATTATAATACAATTGATAACATATTGTATTCTAGGAAGGGCCTTTGTTCAGGATGAACTTTGATAATACCTTTGTTTTTACTTAAGTAAATATTGTTTTGGATTACTTTGACTTGTAACAGAGTGTTTCTACATTGTGTTTTTGCTTTTTGTACGACCTCTTGAGTACTTTGTCCATTGTTGCTAATAACCTTATCTGTAAAATAAAGGTAGTGAAAAGAACAATATTTACAGTAGTGTTAAATTAAAAAAAGTATGCAATACAAGTAAAGTAGAATACTTCACATTTAAATAGATTTAACAAAAGGCACCTGCTTATAGCATTATTGTAATCCAATACCGTCAAATGGCATGTCAAATGTAATCTGATTACATAATCAACAGTTGCCACCCAGAGTGTCACAGCATGCAGGTAATTCACAGTGATGAAATATGCACCCCCTCTCCTCCCCTTCAGTGTAGTGACAGGATGAGTCTCCTGAGTCCTGTGTGTGTGTGTGTGTCTTCTTCTCTCCCTTTTTATTAAATGCTCTAAAAACAAAAACGCCTGGATGAAATGGTGCTGAAACTGCCGCGGAGGAAAAGCACATTTAATTCGTCTTCAGCTGACATTTGGCGCAACACCGAGCACACTGGATGCACGCAGACCGAGGACGGAGTGGCGACAAGGGGCGAACTACCTGTTAGCTTCTCCCGGCTGCAGCGCGGAGGACTCAGAAGTGTGCTTTCATTTTGCCCATTTTCGCCTTTTCTACTGACTTCTTGGATTAAAACCGACGCGTTAGAGACGAAGCTGCTTGTTTTAGATGGAGGTAATGTGGGGACAGTGGTGACCCTGTGGGGAAACCTACAGTAAAACAGGTTAAAGAAGGAGAGAGGAAGAGGATCCAGAGGAGCGTGTGTTTGCGGAGACAGAGGAGGGTATGCCCGGCTCTCTGCACCCGGACCTGCGGCTGCTGTTACTGCTGGCCTGCTGCCACACACCGGGGCTGGTCGGAGCGAGTGAGTATGTTTACCATTTTCCCACTCATGTTCAATGTCAGATGGCATCAGACGTGAAGTGCAGAAACAACGCGTCCAGGTGATATTGACCTATATATGATACAGCTGTGTTTTAATGTAGAAATACACTTAAAAAATGCAATTTGTATCGCATTCAATTAGTAAATCAGTCTGTTATTAAGCAACACGGTAACACTTTACAATAAGGTACACAAAATGTGCTTAGTTACTGCTTAGTTACTGAGGAACTACTAGATAGTTAATGGTTAGTTAATGAGTTCCTCAGTGGACTGCGATTGAGGAACTGATGGTTAGTTACTGGTAAACAGACTGGGGGTACTGTATTAATGAATCATTCGTTAATGGTTACTTAATGAGGAGTTCCTGGGAGACTTTGATTGAAGCAATGGTCCGCTGCAGCAGGGCACTTTTAAACCTGCCATCTTCGGCTGGCTTGGGTCCCACACTGGATCAACTGGTGGAGGTGGATCCGACTCACGTTTTACTGCTTAAGTCATCATTATTTACCTTACCATTACTTAGGCCGTTTGGGTACGGTAAACTCAAGGAACTCAAACAAAAACAGTAGTTACCCATTACCTAATGATTACTTTACCGTTACTAAAACAGTAGTTACCCATTAACTAATGCTTACCTTACCATTCCTTAAGCAGTGTGTGTCCCCTCAAGTAAAGTAATGCATCAAAAACAGTAGTTACCCATTACCTAATGATTACCTCACCATTATTTAAGCAGTTTAACAAACAAACAAACCCTGTGCACTCAAGTTTACATTTTTATTTAAACAACAATCCAAAGCACACTAATAACAAAAAGGAGGTTGCTTTCAGAACTTGTGAAAGCGGCGTATGTCATGCAGCAATCTGCCTAAGGGGCCATCTTTGTGTTTATTTGCCAGCCAATGTGTCCACTCGATCAAAGCAAGATGACTCTTCAGAGTCTTCACTGTGCGGTTTCCTCGCAGTCTCCAGACCTGTGACTTGTAAGTTGACCAAGCCCGCTCAATGTTTTGGGTGTGGGCTCCTGTGTCTGGGTTCACAAATGAACGGCTGTGGTTCACAGAGAAATGAACAAAGCCACTTTCTGCGATTGCAGTGATGTATGCCCTCCACATGTCCGTTATCACGTGGTCCCTTGGCGAACGTATTTTGTGACCAGAGGAATTAAGTGGCGCCTTGATCTTTGTTTCACCAGCCTCAGGATAGGTCTTCTCCTTGTTCCTGTGATGCCCAGCATACCAAAGACCCATTTTCTCCTCCTCCACGTAGGACCGAATCTTCCCCTACCATAAAGCAGTGAAAAAGGACAACACAATTATATAAAAATAAACATCAGTAATTTCAATTGATAAACAAAGTCAAATGTGTTTGTTATTTGCGTTCTTTTACAATTTAAAAATATTCACTTCCTTTCTCAAAAAAGAAGAGAAAAATATTAAAATGTAGTGGTACAAACAGAAAAGGCTGTTTAATTTTATTAAGTTAAAGTTTGCTTATTTTGCTGCAAGAAACATGAAAAGGTGATAGATATTGGAATTAGATGATATATAAATAGATTATGCACTTTTAAAATGTTAGTAATAAAATGTAAGAATATGGATTTATTTCCTTATTGATTAATGATCTGATTGGATGAGATACTTCTTAGCTTCTAAATTCTTTTTTTCTGTTATTTGACTGTGTATACACTGTGGAGCTGGCTCTCTCTAATGTATACTCTGTCTTGGAAGCCTAAGCATGCCAGTCATAAGGGTGTTAATGACACAATTATAAAATTACATTACTTTGCTCAGTCATTTGTTAATCTCTGACTTTAAAAGATATGTTGTTATTTCACCTTGAAAAACAAAGTTTTTAGTTTTAGTGAGGCCAAAGGCTAAGGCTCTGTAGTTTATATACACCTTCCTTTTGTGGTAGAAGTTGCTTTCGTCCAGCATGACAAATTAATTTGGTCCTCCAAGTCTCTGCTTTCCCCTCCTTTCTCTCCTCCTGATTGCACTCTTGCAGACCTTCCTCAACTTCTGGCTCATTTTTGACAGCGTGCGACTGCTTCCTGCCACGCCATCCTGCAGCATGTCAATTTGCCTTAGCTGCAGTCCCTGGGAAAATCTGTTAAAGATCAATATAAAATTACTAAATATGAACAAAAACATATGAAGACGAATGCATTCAGCACCAGTGGCTATATTAATTATATAATTCACATTAGACATTTGTTATTACTCAAAATGAAACAGATAAAATTAATTAGCAACATTCAAATATTCTATCAAGTTTCCCTATATCAGAGCATCTACGCATGTATTTTTAAACTATTAGAATAATCACACATTGTGAACCAATTTTTTTGTTGAGGAACATTTTGAATGCAGGAATTTTACTGTAACAGAGTATTCGTACACTCTGGTACTTCTACTTTTACTCTAGTACAAGATCTGAGTACTTCTGTTTTACTCAAGTACAATATCTGAGTACTTCTACTTTTACTCAAGTACAATATCTGAGTACTTCTACTTTTACTAAAGTACCAGATCTGAGTACTTCTACTTTTAATCAAGTACAAGATCTATACTTATACCACCTGTTTATAGCCTATGAAAAAAACTATTAGAAAACGAAGGCTAAAGCTAATGTTAGCAGATAGTGACAATGTATGCTAGTTAGCTAGCTCAACGATTCCTTAAATAATATTGCGACAGAAACATTTTTCTGTTCACATCACGCTCTGCCGCTCCAACAGGGAGCTCTGCTCTGAACACCCGAACGGTAAGGCGATATGGGTCCGTTCTTATTGTGCATCCATGGGTAAAGGTAAAACCTTTATATATACAGTCTATGGGTAAAACGCATGTAGTACTGAACACGTAACATGAACGTGCCGGGCGACGCGGGCCCGTGGGTTAGATGCGCGTTCATAATGCCGAGGGAAATAACTCTCGAATATTGTCATCAGAGTCCGGCGCAGTTCCTGGGGGCTTGGTGTGAAAGCGACGCCAATGTGCCCCGCCACACCTCCAAGCCGCCTGCGTTGTGAATTGCCAAATAACTAGCGCTTAGTCCGCTAGCTCAATGCTAACATATAATGGATAACGGAATTGACGCGTCAACATGCTTAAAATAAACGTAATACTTACAGGCATTCATTTGCTGTGCTCTGAGGAAATGACTGATATTATTGATGAATTAATATTACCTGTACATTTATTTCATCCAGCTGAACAAGGATCATTTGCTCCTCTCAAACAGGGACAAACACCTCACTGACTTCTTCGTCGTTTTCCCTCTGTGTTTTTTACGTCGGCACTTCCTACAAAAGACAAATCGTAAATTCATAGTCCTTTTTTCCTGATAAAGAACTTATCTTTGTAACATTACATATCAGTAAACAGAGGAAGTCATCGTTAAAACTCGTGCTAAAAATGTAAGACTTAGCACTGCAGTCCGTCGACGTTTGAGTGTTTCTCCAGTTTCCTCCTTTTTGCAGAGTTTGCATTTCATTTTTCCTTGAAGCAACTCCCTTTTCATTAAAAGTCTATTTGGTGTGCAGTGTCATGATAACCTAAAACCATAGACTACTGCGGCGTTACTACTGCGTTACTGCGGCCCGTCCACAAACCCTAACACCCAGCGTAGTTCAACACACATCAAATACGACCGCACCAAACACCTCTCCCCCTTCCACCTCATCCACACACATAACCCCCCAGCACACACACAAGCCACTTTCACCCATCACTGAAATACTGGACGAAGAGGAGTTCCCACACCTTCCACAGGCTGAGGCCCCCCACAACATGACGGCATTCACAGGCCCAACTCCCTCCTCCAGCCGGACTCCAGAACACCGGAACACCCCACCCTCCACCTCCCCCCCCTTCCTACAGGCCATTTCCTGTCATCTCCAAACCATCACCGCCCACTACCCCTGCCCGGCTCCCTCATCCGCTCCTTGCTCCTAACCCCAACCCCCCTCCCCCAACAGCTACATTATACACAATCCCTACCGACGACCCATCCTCCCCCGAGCACCCCATCAGCCAGTTGCCAGGACGGACCAGCCCAGTCCCTCTGTGTCACAGAAGGGTCAACTACCACGGAAGATCCCCCTGCTACCTCTGCCTATCCGCCATCCCCGTGCTTTTACACCTCTACACCACAGGATCCATCTCAAAACACCACCCATAATCACCAGGACCGTCTGCAACCCTAACCCTAACCAGCCACCTCCGCTGATGCAGCCCCCCAGAGCTTCGTCTCCGCCACCACCACCTCCCCTACCACCCCAGGCCATCTCAACCAGGATTGCCAGGGGCCCATTAGAAGTGGAGGCCCAGGTTTATACACCAGCAGACATACACACACCCCAGGCAACACCCCTCACAGGCAACACACACACACAACCAATTCCAATGTCTCAGTCGTCCTCCCTGACACCATTTCTCCCATCTGCTCCTCCGCAACAGTTTGCGCTGGTCCCCACTGGGACTCCAATCAGGGGCAGGCCCCATCAGATCCTAGGTCCGACCAACTAACAGGAGGGAACATGATGACAGAGTCACAAAAGGTCAAACCAACCAACAATGCGACTCACTCTGATCCCTCCTGTACACTACCTGATGGGGCCCAGCCACCTGCTCACCCCCCTGTGGGGGCCAGCGCTTCTGTCATCCCTAATCCGATCCCCTCCACCCAACACCTCTCAACTCCCCACTCCCTCAGCCATGTATGCATGCAGATACCACCTACAAAAGAAAAAATCTGATTGGTCCATTCAAGTAACCAAACCGATACTCTTCATAGGGGATTCAAACCTGGCCAGAATCCCTAAACACTCACACTCCAACATCCAATTGGACAGTTACCCCGGTGCAGCAGCGTATAATATTATGAAATTACTCACAAAGACAGCTCCCATCCCCACAGTCAAAATGGTCATCCTCTCTTTTGGACTCAACAACAGGGAGCAGGATGCCCACCGCACCAC